TTTATAAAATATTCGCTGAGAGTTTAAGAAACGCAGAACATGGCAAGTTCCGAGGATCTTCTTATCGATTTGTAACCAATGGAATTACGGAAATTGCTGATAACAAATGCAACGAACCAGGGGATCTGCCTGGTAATCCACGCCTTCCGTTTCTTACGTTTTCCGTGATCACAGTTCCAAAGAAGAGCCTTGCTTGCGCTGAGGCGCGAGATATCGAGTGTCGAGCATGCTCTGAACTCTAGAGCTTATAGTAATGTTGCGTTTAGACGTTATTGATGTGTTGTAAATTGGAGCTGTAAATGCCAAGCCTTTGCAAGACGTATAGACTTGCGGCTTTAGGAAGGGGAAAAAATGTGTCCAATAATCACATAGGGATATATTAGATATGCTACAGAAACGTATAGCTGGTTTTTAGCATTTGTATAAGGCCTGGAATGTTTATTTCATGCATCATATACGAAGTTTTTTTTTTATTTAATAGTGTGGACTTTGACAATGTAAAATATTATATATCACGAGTCAGATCTCGCTAAAGTAAGGACTTTTGCTTGCTGGAAAATTTATGGTTCCGGATGCAAGATTTGCAAGTGGCACCTTGCATTTAATGCATGAAAATCAACTTTATTTTTTTTATTGCAGGTTTGCGTAACATGACCCAGGCTTTATAGCATATAAATATACTGCTCACTTTCTGGTGAATACAAACTAAAATATTAATATAACTTCGAGGTAGTAAGCGTTTATTTCTGAAAATATTCCAAACAGCCGCGCGATTATGTAAAGAAGGAAATGCATTTTCAGCCTTTTCTATTTGTCTTAAATAATACCCTTCCAATTCGATACATAATATGCTATTACAGCACACATAAAAATAAGAACTGAAATTGCTTTGGCAGAGGCGTAAGTTGAACGGGGATACTGGATCTTCGTCGTTTCAGCGAGGAAAGTACCGGTTATGTTAAAGGAGCCCCCCAATGATTCTGAGCGTCTTTGAAATTTGCGGTCAACCGAACGTCATCGAACGTAGAAACTTGAAGTAAATTTTTTTTTCGGGTAATTCGAATTTTTTTGGTTTGAAATTAGCCAATTAAATTTACAAAGAGAGGCGAAACATTTTTGCTTCGTGGCACAGTCGAAAAACGAATGAGATGAAGCGGCAGGCGTAGTGGCTGCGTGTTCGGCTCACGGCAGCCACGCCGAGGACGCACGCATCGTCGGCCTCGTTGCTGAAGCCCCTTGCATCGTCATAAGATCTGGCTCTGAAAGAAATCGGCGTTCCCAATGGACCTGAGCTGTTTATACTTCTGCTTTGGAAAATCCAACGCGCGCCGGCGAAGAATCATGTTCGTAGTCCTTTTTGTCGCGCCCCATCCGAGAATGCAGCCCGGTTTGATCAGACCAGTGACTCGTGGCAGGGATTTTCAACGTGATAGGCTCTAACAACCAAAACAAGCAAAAGCTTGGAATAACAATCGCAAATAAGAATTCTTTTTTTTTTTTTCACCAAATGGCAAGCCAAACTTCGATGAAAGACAAAACAACGAGAGATCACAATGTCGCGTCTGTTAAAGCATCCACAGGGCGGCTTCGGCGGATTTGATGCAAGCGCGTTTCGCAGCGGCATTCCACGCTCACTTACGTGAGACATCGAAGGGGGCGGTCGATCACTAAATTACACCGATTACGCGAGCGAAATTGTAGCGCACTACGAATAAACGTTCCGGCCTTCAACTTTGTTTTCATTGCACGCCGCTTCTGCATTTCGCATTTGTTGTTTTGAGCGGGAGCGGCTGCCGTCGAGATACGACTTGCACATTATCACACATAGCTCATACTCGAGCGCGTTCTGAATTCTTATTAAGTTTGCGTTTGGTTCGTCGTCGAGCTTCAAACGTTGGCTGGCAACCCTCGATTCGCGTCCGACTCGTTAGGCCTAGGAAGCTTCCCCGGTAGCGCGAAAAGCCGTCCACGCACAGACTCGCCGAATCTAGCGCACGGATCTTGTGCACACCAACACACAAACACGGAAGCACCATACCGAAAGGTGAGAAACGCACACGACAGGCGGCAGATTCAAATCTAAAAAAAAAAGCGTCGCGCACACGCCGATTCCTGCTGAAGCGATGGGGCGCCCGTGCGATGGGTAGCGCTCAGTAAGCTCAATGCACTAGCCGCTCTAATGCGCAAGGGCGCCGGCTGGATTGGCTGGTTCCTCCGCTGGGAGATGGGTATGTCTTGGTGCTGGTGTTTTTCCTTGTTTCTGCACATTTCAAATATTTTGCCTTTATTTTCGATTTTTTCCGCTCAATAAAAGCGTTTTCTTGAACGAATTACGAGCGTTTACGGTGTGATGCGCGTTATGAAGCCTGCATAAAATAATATCCTGATGGCTCTTGCCTACTGCCAATCATAAAATGGTTACCGATGATGTCACTGGTTTTGCGTTTTCAACACACTGTGTCGCCGCCGCACTTTAAGCTGTTTTTGTATGATCGAATTAATATATGAGGCGCTCATATTTCGTGGCTACTACTTGTTCCCCGAGTCACCCGAACCACTAATGAAGTAATGCCATAAATAGGTCAAAATCTCCAATGTCATTAAAGCGCCTCTTTAAGTAGTTTCAAAGAAGCCAGCATTAGGATTAGCGTCGTATAATATTCTTTGAGTAAAGGTTACAATAATTAAAACACCTGCTAATATTTGCTTATACTGGACGCCTATACAATTGATCAGCCATTTGCAGTTCAGTGGTCACGATGTACAAAATGTCAAGGTAATTGACGTAGGCTCAAGCAATTAGAGAGATATAAATTTTTGCTAAAATTGCCACGCACTTTATTTAAATTTTATTATAGATTTAAACACTGCTAGATCGAATTGCACGGAGCAGTCAGTAACCAAACAATTTGGCGAAAGAAAACAAACCAGAAACACACGAATGCTTAACATTACATTTGAACATCGCATGCTTCTTGAACAAAAGAATGCCAGGTGAAAGAAAACTTTAACAAAATTTAAAGGCCTCTCACAAACTATGGCATGATTTCGTGACTTTTAGATAATAGCATTACGTGTGTTTGTTTTTAAACTGTGAAGATTTCAGGTAAAATAAAACAAATGAATATACTACTGAACCTTCTTAAAAACAATAGAAGTCCAAGTTTCAAAAGGTATAGCTGCCACCTAACCAATCCCAAACGATCTGTGTATTTGAAATAGTTATCAGGGTTATTGGACCTAGCCACCAAATTAATATTACACTAAATAATTTACAATTTCAAACGAAAGCCAAACGTCATGATGCTTCTCCCGTTCACTTGTGCCCAGGAGAAGCTTTGAGTACCTTTTCTTTTTATCATCTCATGTCGTTAAAGATTCACAGTAGTTCACTTTCTTCGGCAAGTTATTCAATTTGCGTTTAAGATATACTTAACGTATTTACTTGAGTTTCAGAAAAATACCTTTTTTTCTACTCTTCAAGCAAACAATTGGTTTAGTTACAGCAGCCGTGTGGATAGAATCGTAGAAGGAACCGAACACCGACGATATGCGTGGAAAATTTGACTTCTTTCAAGAATGTTTGCAACTGAAAATATTATATCGAATTTTTTGGAGGGGTATTCCAACAAACGGCATAATGAAAGATCACCGTACTTTGTTTTGTCTGCTCCCTCTTGAGTCACCGGCAATATCGGAGTACAGCACGGACCCGATGGTGCCTATGACCTTTGAAGGGACCATATGCATCAGTTCCCTAATGCACCGCGCTATGATTTACTGTGGAAAGGCTTTGAGGTGATGCGTTTTGTGTATAAACAAGGCAAAGCTTTGACAAGCCTGAGTAAAGAGTATAGAATGTAATTTGAGGAAAAATACCTGCAATACATTTATTATTATTGTTTAAAGCAATTAGAAATCTTTTTCTTTTTATTGGTGCCAGCCTGCAATCAACAGAATTGTGGTTGGTGCAACAGTAAACAGATGGTGACAGCGATTCCTACAATCCTTTTCTCGCAGATGCTCTGCCCTTTCTATTGGCAGTGCTGAAAGTTATGTTATTTACGGAAAATTCGTTCAAGACGCTGTCTCCTGGGAAATATTTTCAAACTTTCTTTTGTCTGTAAGACAATTTGTATGAATACAAATTATTATATTTTGGGACAAAACAATCTTCAAACCTTTTTTATATCCGATATACTTTTCGCTCCATTCTACACCCAGCAAATTAATACATGCAGCAAGTGAAACACTTGATACAACCCAAAAATGGCTGTTTGCAAAAAACGCTGTCATGATAATTATATTTCGTTCACAATAAATATATAAATGTATATTTTTTACCTGAAAAGTGTCATGCCAGTGAAATTTAGCACATAGGGAGTAGCAATGTAATCAATTCTGTAGTAATAATTACAACAAATCATACAAAGACACTGCTTTAACTTTAGGGAATGAAAGTATACTGAATGCGCCCTGCAAGTCATTCAATAACCGAAGAAAATAATTAGGGAAGAATCAAATATGATTCGAATCAGTGTACGTGGTCTCAAGCAAATAGCAAATTCTGACTTTTGTACAGATAACTTGCGTAGCCTTTTTCAAGAACAATGAACATGTATAGGTGAGCAATTTTGAAGTTTGCTTATGTCAGTCAACAAACAGAGCATACAAAAAATTAGGAACTAGAGATTGATAAACACGTCTTCATTACAAAAATATGTCAGGTGAATGCAAACCTTTAAACGTTGTTTGTGTGCTGCAAGGGAGCAATCGTAACTTCACGTGCGTCATTTTCAAGCCGTAAGGCTGTCGTAATAAAGAAAATAGAAGAATATACTGGACCTTTTTGAACAATGAATTTTCCTTTAAGGTCAAATAAACGTTAGTTGGAGACCAGCCACGAGCAATTCGTATAAAGCTTCGCAAGAGTACGTAATATTCATTCGATATAGGAACGGCTCAAGAACTGTACAAGTTTTGAGTGGAAACTAAACATCATGAAGCTTGTTCTGTTCGCCTGTGCTATTCGTGAGTAACTCAGGATTGGTAGCATGCAGATTCGCTCTAATTAGTGTAGCCCATTTACAGTTCTCGACAGGTTTCTTACTCTTGTTTTAAGAAAAAACTTTACAGTTTTGATAAATTTCTGAAATACGTGTTTCCTTAACTGTGCATTAGGGAATTAGGTGCATTTTTTATTGCACTCATCTTTTAAGAAACAACAGCGGACAAGTGAGACACCGGAGCACCCCCAACCGAACCTTTAAAAAATAAATATTTAGTTAAATTGACTCTAACAAAATTTTAACTGGAATTATATGCGAAAGGTGTGACATTCCGGACAAGCGCAACCAGGTTTTTGCACTCTGTCTCTTAAAAAAATTGGAAAATTCGGAAACTAGAAAATTTATAAATAACGTTTCTCTAATAACATTTAAACCGACAAAATGTTTATTCTGGAAAACATATGTCGTTATTTTAGAAAACACCCATCATGTTGTTTCATATAAGGACATTGCTGTGTCTAATTTATTATTTAGATTCCACCTAGCGTGTCGTTGACATTCTGAAATTCTTGCCAGCTCTATTGGCTTGTAGGGTGCTCATCAATAAATATAAACAACGCAATATTTATTTGTTCCTTCATCATATATTCACCCACATGCAGTTTGTTAGGGTATATGTGAATTTGTTTAGAATATATATCATATATCAATGAAGGAAAACCCGGAATTTGAAAGATTAAGTACCGCATGAAGTAAATTTTACAGAATCCATGTCTTTACCCGCACTAATATACCACCCAGGATTTCAACCAAAGTTTGCTTTGCTCTTTTACGCGAAATCGAGAATAGCAACACAAAGCTATTCTAAAGAGTCATTTTTAACCGTAGTCGTTTTCGTTATTTCCAGTTTTCTTCGCAGTCATTTCTAAAGCGGATGGAGAGGAACTTAAGTGCGGAAAAAGAAGGCGCCAAAGTGGGGTGAGAAAATATTCTTAGGTTTTAAGCTACATTAACGATTAGAGGTGGTTTTGTCGGTGGCGCTTTGTTTTAATTATACCTTAAGCTACAGGTTCAAGAGGGTCCCAGAAGAGATGCCCAATAAAAAAAAAGTTCCCAGAAAAGCATTTCCCTTGAAAAGATTCCGCAGACAAAATGTCCCTGGAAACAAGGCCCCAGGTGGGAAGTAGGGCAAAAATGTAATTAAGGGGTTCTCTATCGATTTGGGTTTCGTGATTTTTATGGCCTCGGTTGGTCTTGTCATTCACCGATCACAGTGACGCGATCTACCTGGAGGTCAAAAGGGGTGCTGGAAGTCACACAACGGAACCAAAGTGATCCACTGAGGGGTATTTCGGGAACCGGATATTACTTCGTCGACAGAGTTCATACGTTTTAGACAGCCGGATTCGTTCATATCGTGTGGTCAGGGGCTTGGTCAGTGGAGTTCATTCGCGTCAGGACTTGAAGGCTTCTTTAAAGTGAGTTATTTTATTAATCTATTAACAACTGAAAGTAAAATTTGCTATCTGGTAGATTATTCACTTACTCGTGATCATTGGTTTATGGTTACTGACTTCCATCATTTCTTAGCTTTGTATACTATTTTGTAAAATTTGTTGCAATTCTACCTAACGACTGATAGTGGGAGATTGGGAAATGGTGAACAGTTCTAACAAGTGATACCTCTAACAACATGATATATATTTCTAAAATGGAGACTTTAAATTCCAACAAGAAAGAAACAAAGTTGTGCGTGGATGGGTACATTCGTACCAAACAGAAGGATATGCAACGGGCATCCGCCGGGGCTATGTCAAGCGCGACATTCACTGCAAAGGAGCCTTCATTGTCGACGGAGCAACATGAGCCTACAGCTAGATGGTTCGACAAAACCAGCCTCCAGACGACTCTACGATTAGTGCGGCCTAATCTAGGATCGAGATAAAAAAATCGTCCCTGCTGAAAAAAAAAGCCTGCCGCCGTTGTCGCCTAAGTTGTGAGGGTCCCGAATGAAGAAGAAAAGTGCCTCATGAATGGTGAGCAGAGCCTGAACCGCTGAATTCGCCAACAGCGGGGTTCAGCGTACCCTGCAAATCCTGCCAGCCGCAGGGACCTAGTTGTTGAGCCACCCTGGACGATGACTGCGGCCAATCAAACAGATCGTTTCCTCTGCTATGACATTGGACGTGAGACTGAAGCCCGGCAGCTCGTATTCGCCAGTAAGCCTTCCCTAGCGTTGCTAGCCCCGAGGAGCATATGGTTTATTGACCGCAACTTTGACCTCGTTCCCAAGGAACTCCGGCAGCTGCACTTCATCCTGGTACTTCTAGGAGAGAGCGTTGTCTCCGTTGCTTACGATTTTATGACAAGAAAAACTTAAGAATCCTATGTAAGCTGCTCACGTCCCTCGCTCGAGAATGTAAGTTTCTAAGGCTGACGGCTCTCCCGACATTGTTGTGTGCAATTCCGAAAAAAGCGACCATAAACGTTGTCAAGCAAGTTATTGGGGAAGACATCACCATCAAGGCCTACTTATTCGATTTGTGCCAGAGCACCTGGCGAAAGGTTCAGGAACTCGGACTGGTCAGGCTCTACAGAGAAAACGATGGCTTTCGTACTTTCCTTGGGATCATCGACGCCGTCGACTTCCTGCCTCTTACCCGAGGACACCAATTAAGAGTGGCATGCATGTCCTGAAGAGGATGATGCTAGAAGCCGCAGGGGAAATTCTGTACTATTTTTACACGACCTATGTTACCGGAAACTATCGCCACGTAAACCGAGCAAACAGCATCGTCAGCCTGCCAAGAACGCCTCCGAGCTATCCTCCCGCTACGCGGAATGTACGTTCGGCCACTATAGACGGCGGCCATAAGAACAACGACTTCTATGAAGCATTGAACCGGAGGTTTGGAAGCATGGTCGGTCGCAGTAAGGCTCTCGACGCCTTGCGCACGGAGGAGTCAACTGTGACCACCAAGATTGCCAAGAATCGCGTCGATGCTCCAGCCAAGAAAAGGTTCAAGTCGACACTCGTCTAAATGCAACGCCGTCTGCACAATCTTTCCGAAAAGTGTGTCTCCGGGGCAATCGCAATAGAATATTTCATTTGTGCCGTCGGCCGCACAATGCACTTTTGACTTTTGTGCATAAACATACGATATATCATTTACTCCTGCTTTTGTAACATTGCACCTAAACTATTTTTTTATTGTGACTTAAATATTTATAGCACTTCTAACCAAAATGCGAATATTGTGCTAAAGGAAATTTGAGACGCACGTTTGTACGATTTTCAAAAAGTTACCTCGGGCAAACATTAATTTGCTCTCGTTTAAAGTCGTTTTTTTATTTGTTTCTTTGTTTTTTTACTTGTCACTTGGCGCTTGGTTTTCTGGGATATATGACGGGAACACCCCAAGGTCTTGGGAATCAGGAGAACCCAGCAACTTCCAACCAAAATGCGAATATTGTGCTAAAGGAAATTTGAGACGCACGTTTGTACGATTTCCAAAAAGTTACCTCGGGGAATCATTATTTTGTTCTCTTTTAAAGTCGTTTTTTTTTGTTTTTTTTTACTTCTCACTTGGCGCTTGGTTTCCTGGGATATATGACAGGAACACCCCAAGGTCATGAGAATCAGGTGAACCCAGCAATACAAAACGCTTTGAGGACATTTTTTCCCACTTTGTGCCTGGGGCCTTGTTTTCCAGGGGCATTTTGCCCGGAGACTTATCTTTTGGGAACATTTTTCACTAATCCCGGTTCAAGGCGTGAAGCTGGGCTAATTGGCTCATAATGCAAACTTGAAAGCAGCGCGAAAAAGAGAAGGGACAATAACGAGAAGTGAACGAACACAACGCTGACTGGCAACTGAAGTTTATTCCTGCGAGGAACAGAAAGGAAAACATAAAAGATGCAAGATAGATGAAACATAATCCACCCCCTTGAGGAAAGCCCGAGCACCTGAACAAATCTGCCGAATTTCTTAATGAAAGATACTTCGTCATCCGCCAAAGCCACGGACGGGGCACTAACACACGTGTCCGCTTCGTAGGTAGAAATAAAAAACGCCTCATCAATTTCTCTATAGTCACTTTGTTGCGGTGACGAGGCAGAATATTAATCTCCTTGAAAACCGGAGAACACGAACACCTATCGCAGTGAACTGCAAGGTGTCCCGATGGTGAAGACTGAAGGAAAATGGAATGCTCCCTGGCTCTTACATGGACACACCTCACCATCTGACCCATGTGCACCCTGCCATACGACAAAGGGATCAGATACACGACACCCGTCGCGCACGTAACATACCGGGTTCGGTGGCTAACCACACACCGAGGCCCAGATGACCCAACACGATTAACTGCGACGCAAAGGAGGGACAACTTTGAAGGAGCTGAGAACACAACACGCACGTCAAACTTTTCAGCCACCTGCTTGATCCTATTTGAAAATCTGTGTACATACGGCAGAACAACCGGCCTGGAGGGCCATCCTCCTCCTTTCCCTCAAACTCAAAAGACCTCTAAACACGTTGAGAAGTGATTCAGCAACACCCACGACAACAGCCAACGGGAAGCCAGCAGAATGCAGGCCAGCAGGTTGCATTCTGTTGGCTTCCCGTTGGCTGTGGTCGTGGGTGTTCGTGTAGCACCGTCAGCATCTCCTGACGGACCTTGGTCGGGATCACGAGGCGCCGGCTCCAGTAGAGTAACCCTTGGTACACAGACCAACTCGAGCTTCCTATATAAGTAAGGTTGCAAGAATGACCAACTTTCTGGCAACCTTTCGGGCCAGCCGTCCTGCACTTACTTCATGGTTTGCAGTAACGTGACGTCCGTTCTTCTCAGGTCTTTCAAACGCTCAGCGGAAATAAAGGTCTTGTCTACCTGGCTCACCGTTAACACGTATTCTGGAAGCTCTCCTTTTCCGAGTAGTCCATGCTGGGGCATTGGCAGGCGACTTAGTGCATCGGCTTTCGCGTTTTGTTTCCCTGGCCGAAATTCAATACTGAATAAAAAATCGCTCAGCAGCAAGGCCCAAACTTGAATCCTCCCAGATGCCAGCAGCGGAATTGGCGGCTGTTCTCGTAGCTTGCCCACTAAAGGCTGATAATTCGTGATTAAGATAAATCTGCGGCCTAGTAGATAGTCCCGGAATTTGGTGACGCCAAATACTAAAGCCAAGGCCCCATTTTCTAGTTCTGAATTTTTTGTTTTCCGCTGGCGTGAGCCTTCGGGATCGAAGCGCTGTTGGCTAATCGATGCCTTGAACTTTGTGAGACAGCACGGCTCCCACTCCGGTGGTAAACACGTCCCATTCTAATCTGAGAGGCATGTTAGTGTCGACAAATGTTAGGACCGGGGACGTCAAAAGACCCCTTTCGTCCGTTTCGCGGCTTCCTCTTGCCGCGACTTCCAGCGCCAATTTTGATCTTTCCCAAACTGCTCGTTTAACGGTGCTAACAAGGTAGACATGCTGGGAAGAAACCGCTGGTAATATGTCAGCAGCCTCAGGGAAGAGCGCAGCTCGGTTACATTCGCGGGTTTCAGTGCCTCTCTGATTGCTTCCGAGTTCTTCTTCATCGAGTGTAGGCCTTATTGGTTAATCCTATGGCCCAAGTAAGTGATGTCTGGTTTCCCGAACTGACATTTCGACCGCCGAAGCTTGACACCCATGTCCTAGAAACGCTGCAGCATACGCCTTAAGTTGTAAGTTCCTTGTTGCTCTGCCACCTGAACATCGTCTAAGTTCATCTGTACTCCCTCTAGTCTTGCCAATATGCTCTCCATCTCCCCTTAAACGATCGCCGGCGCGGAGGGAATCCCAAACAGCAGGCGATTAAAACAAAAAAGCCCTCGGTATGTGTTGATAAGCGTTAATTTCCTAGATTCTTCGTCTAGTTCCACTTCGTTGTAGGCGTCTCTAAGATCTAAGGTGCTGAACACTGACCCGCCGCGCAACGAGGCAAACAT